AAACTTAATGGAATATTTGATTTTTCTATGTCAATATTTCTTGAAATTTCAGTGGAAATTAAACACGATAAAAATTTCCAGGATTCGGCACGCAAAATTCAGACAAAAATTGTTAAAAGTGTATCCGTGTTATGGAGGAGGGATGCTATATGCTATCCCTTCACCATCTGTCTCTACATGAAACAACCAGTGAAAGTAACCTAGCCTTGTAAAGCCTTCAATTGTTATCCATAATACAACCTAATGCATCACCTAGATAGTTAGGAGGTCTATATCCCGCCGGACTTATTGGTTTCACCCATCTTATTGGTTTCAGTCTCGTCAGGTCTGATATTTATGAGGATAAAATCCGAGAATTAGCATTCACGTCGCTGTCCTTGTAAATAACCTGTCATTTGATAGCGGAGACCAATAAGTCCAGTGGTATTGTATGGACCCCCTACCTACCTAGGCGATCTGTTAGGTGGTGTATTATTGATAGCAATTCCAGTCTTTACAAGGTTAGGGTAACTTCATTGCTTGTTGTATAGACACTGATAGACTGATTCATTTATTCCAAACGAGATTCGTTAATATTCGTTAATAGTTAACGAATGGTTCACTTAAAAAGTGAAAATCGAGTCAAGCAAGGCCCCTCAAATATGCATTTGTTAACTATTAACGAATGAACATTTGGTGAGACGGAATAGACTCTGGTCTCCAACCAAATCCATTCGTTAACAATAACTCATCCTTTCTATCAGTGTAGAAACATTGAGGGTGACGGAGCATATAGCATCGCTTCTTCACGGAAAAAATTTAAGATTATTTTTTACCGTTAAACACGAAAAAAACAAGTAAAAATTGTGAGTCGGTGTACACTGTTGTAAAAAAAAATGAAATTTCATGGGCAGTTGACTATTAATTTTCAGGACAGTAACACTAAATGCGATTTAGGAGGAAAAGAATCATGAAACTTCAGGTTTCACTGAATATTCAGTAAAATTCCAGAATTTTAAGCAGCATAAATACGAGAATTCCTTAAATCCTTTGAATTTCCAATCTAATATAAATATTCAGTGCCCAATTACATTGAATTTTCAGATAAATCTGAAATTTCATTATTTTTTTCCTCCTAAATCGCATTCAGTGTCACGGTACTGAAAATGCAAGAATATATTTACCGGAATTTTCTGGTTTTCTATTCATTTTCAGGGGAAAAATGGAACTGAGATTTACAGTTCTCTTTGATTTTTCCACGAAATTCTGAATTTTCAATGACGAAATTCCTTGAAATTTCAGTGGTAATTAAATTCGATAAAAATTTCCGAAAAGTGCACCGGAAATTTCAGATACAAACTTTTAACAGTGTAATGGAAAGTGGTAGAATAAAAGTAAAATTTAATTTGACACCAACTTGACTTGAGACTTTTTAGAGATACTCGATCGAAGTTGATGAAATTTACTAGCACGGAGAAAAAAATTGGAGAACAGTTACCAACCAAGTCATACAATCGTGGAGCGGAATCCATTTCTAGGTCTTTTTCACCCTATATCGGGGTAAAAAATTCACTAAACATGAGGGTGATTTACACCGAAACTGTAAAATTTACCATCATGTTATCACCAATTACCTCATGAATGTGAATGATTGCTCAATATTGGGTAATCATTCACACATGTGGAGATATTTCTGTGATTGTGAATGATATTTTTTGTATTTTTTCTCTCGAACGAACCGTAAAATATCCTCCACAAAATGTATTTATTATTACATTACAATTTCGCTCGACAATTACCTGTCGTAGAGATAATTTTCATTCAACTTTTCCCCATAAATTAATTTCCAGATAATTTTCATTCAACTTTTCCCTTCGTGTGAAATGAATCAAGAATTTTTTTTTCGGTTCAGTCGCACTTTCTGATCGATAAACAATCCAGTGGTAGTGAATAAAGTCTCACTGATAACTTGTTACACAATTTATCCCAGTGTAATTGAAAATTGTGATCTATAATTACCATTTCAAATTAATCTCTTGGACTTGAAATTTTCGACATTATAAATATTGAATATTGGCATGTGAACAAGACCATTCATATTGAATTAATTATTTCATTTTCACCATGCTCAATGAATATAATTAGTTATCGGTTATTCTCGATTAAATTTTTTCTACTATCACAACAGAAACTAAGTTACGTACAAAAATCGATAATCTGTTTATCCGTAAGTCCAATGTTCATACCACATTCCTATAACAATTATTCGATTCCGCACATACACATGGTAGCTGAAACCCATTCCAATTAAATTAATATTTGTCGTGTGAAATGTCCAAAGCGTACATCGAGTTCAATGAAAATCGAGGGAAAAGTGGTGGGAGAGAAATCGAGTGGATGATGAGGGGGGAAAATGGTTGAATCCACTCTATATGGCTGATCGACAGCGCTGGCAAGCATACGCTAATGAATTTCGAGGGGTAAAATGCGAATAAGGTCCGTGCAATTATTTATGATCAGCCTGTGCTCAGAATCAAACCCACGGGTTCGTAATGCACGTCCGCAGAAGGGCGGGGAGAATAAAAACAGTGGGGATAAAATATGGATCCACCATTTTGCCCGGCCCTCAGAACTGCATAGTTTGCTGACACGGGATCATCATACGCTCCGAAACGTTTACAATCAATGATGCCTCACGTACACAGGGGCATTAGCATCCTACCGTTTCCTAGTTGCAGCTCGCTATGCGTTGGTGCGTCATTCAAACAATTGTGCTATTCAGCAGGGTATCGATTATGGCCACAGGAGACCTATGAGATTTCGAATAAATGAAACAGAATTATCATTGTTTTGTTTTCATTTCACATCCACATCATTGAATCATCAAAATACGAGGAGAATATCAACACCGAGGAAAACCAAAGAAAAATTGTAACGTAGAAATTCGATGAAAATGCGGTGAGGTATATCCAACCCTGTTAGAAATTTTTTGAAACTTCATGGAAAATTTGACAGTAATAATCATGAAAGTGACGTTGAATCGGATTTAGGGGAAAAATGATTATCAAATTTCAATTTCAAATTTCAGTTGGAGTGAGGTGGAAATTTCACGATTTGGTTGAGATTTCAATGGAACATGAATATTCAGAAACAAAATGACATGAATTTTCAATTTTTCCCTGAATTTTCCCGATTTTTCTGAATTTTCACGGAATAATTCAACTGAACAATCAAGTATTTTATTGATTTTCCGATAATTCGAAAAGAAAATCAATGGAATATTCAATTTTTTCATGGCGATATTTCCTGAAATTTCTGTGGAAATTAAACACGATAAAAATTTCCAAATTTGGCACGGAAAATTTAGACGAAAATTTTTAACAGCGCATCCTCCTAGTACTTTTTGACTAACAACTCATGAATATTCCTGTACGTTTATGATAAATTACGTCCCAAACCGGAATATTTATCCTTTGCCTCACATTTTTCCGTGATTTCCTCCATTGTACAGTAATTTTCCATTTTTTTCACCATGAAATTGTTTACAATTTACAATTGTTTACAATATTTCAATGCCTCAAGCGATATTCGTTCAGTTACTTCATGGAATAATTAACATTCAAGCATCGAAAGCTCCAAGGCATAAATGTTCAAGTTCTCTCGCCTTTTTTTTCATCTCTCATTTATTATTTGATTCCTTTTTTTTTCAACAAGCCAGTTTGACGTTCATTTCGTACGGTTACGTTTGTATACGCAGAGCGCTCTCGGGTCGGTTCACGGCATCGCATTCACAATCTAATTTTCACTGGCGTTTAATCTTTGTACACTCGGGCTTTCCCCCCGTTGCTTTGGCCCGGCACGCGCGTGAGCTTTTTCAAAGCACTACCCTTCATCCCCTCTATCCCCTCACCTCTTTTCTCCATCGTTACCCACCCATACACCGTCTACCAACACGGGTACATTCAATTCCCTCCCCACTCCCTCTCTCTTTCCGGCATCCGATTTCAAATGCCCTCGGCTCGGCGCAATTATTTCCGTTCTGTTTGTCGTTTGTTTCAAGCACACTCACTCGTTCGATTTTTCAAACTGCTCGCCAACCAATATCACCTCCCTGTGGCGGTCGATACATTTTCTTTTTATGATTATTTCAATATTTCTTGCTCTGTTTTGGTTAACCTCAATTGTCCTGGAACAAGTATTCATTAGAATAATTGGTTACGTTCAGGGGACAAAGACGTGACATGGGATAAACGCGAGCTACTGTTCATAATAATGAATTTTTTTCCATAACTCAATAATGAATTCGCATTAATCTCCCAGCTTATCATTATGCGGCTTTTTTATAATCTCAATTATTCCCTCAACTCGGGTCCCAACCCCTGGATGTAAAAATTATTATTCTCTTCTCTTCGTCTATTTAAAAGTTTGTGGGTGGTCATTGACGTCTCTTTAATTCAGCTATAAATTATCGAATCGGGTCACGACGCAGCAGGTGCTGCTGATGCGCTGGACGCGCGGTAAATAAATATTCTGTATTCCCACACTACCGCAAATACATCGAAGGGTGCCAGAGTGAGAGGAGATTCAGAGAGAGGAGGAATTCCCATATAATCGAAAAAGACCAAGAGCATAAGCACACTCGTGAGCCCATCTGGCCTACATTGATATAACAATAAAATGGGAAGAGACCGAGAGGATGTAACTATAATGTTGCCGTTTTCGATATGCTTTCCATTAAATTGCAAAATCCCATTCGCCAGCCTTTCTGTATAGATTTAACCCTCTCGCATTGGCCACTTCCGGTTGACTGGTTTCGCACTCATAGCGGGGTGTCATGAAAAAAATATATGTGTATGGTATTACAGAAAAATTCTATAGACTCCATATTTCATTTTCTCTCCATATTTCAATGCATATTATGCCTTCCTTTGTTCCTATCAAAATGTCATTTATTTTGATTCCAACAGTAATCTATAAAGTGATATTAAAAAATCGTTCTCGTTGATTTTTGTTGCAAACAGGTCCACCCCAAATCCTGATGAGGCCACGCTCGCAGCACGTGAAGACCGGAGGCATTGCAAGTTTCTACTGCAGTGCCCATGGTGCACCAACACCCCAAATACACTGGCGCAAGAACGGCAAGAAAATTACCTGTAAGTTTTTTCTGATATATTTTTTTCTTCATTCTAACATATACTTTTTTTTTTCCTCCTCCGTGTACTTCTACCGGAGATACTCCAAAGTGATCTTATTGTCTCCTTACTTTCGTCTGTGTTCTCATTCTCTTTCGCCCGAGTTACTACGGGACACCGAGTTTCCCTGGAGTTCATCCTCCTCGCACAACCCAACCAAAACTCTCTAGCCCTCAGTCAATCTACTCTTCACTCTGCTTTCGTCCCGCACCAGACGTTCGTACGGGCAAAAGAGAATTGGAAAGGAACTATGCTACGCTGGTTCTTTGAGATTCTCTCGAGAAGATGCTGGCTTCTCATTCTTGCCTACATATAGTTTAAAGAAAGTTTAACGTCTTTTCATCAATTGCATCACTATACTGAGATAAATATCGATATAGTATCAAAGACTCATTTCTTGCTCCAAATATCTCATCGCTGCACTGAGAGAAAAATGAACAAGTTCTCAAACAAGTCTTGTTTGGGCCAACAAAATCGGTAGTTGAAAATTGCGAAAAAAAATTTTGGTTCGAATTTCAAAGTCTCAAACATGAATAATTGCTTTGCTTTCAACAACAATGAAATATTTAGCTCAAGGAGCGGATCATTTATACTGTTACGAAAAAAATGAAATTTCATGATAGTTGAGTACTAATTTTCAGGACAGTGACACATAATACGATTTAGGGGAAAAATCGTGAAGTTTCAGGTTTCACTGGGAATTCAGTAAACTTCCAGAATTTTATGCAGCGCAAAGACAAAAATTCCTTCATTTATTTGTATTTCCAATCTAGTATGAATATTCAGTGCCAAACTACATTAAATTTTCAGTGAAATCTGAAATTTAGATATTTTTCCCCCTGAATCGCATTCAGCGTCACTGTCCTGAAAATTCAAGAATCTATTTACCGGAATTTTCTGGTTTTTCATTCATTTTCAGGGAAAAATGGAACTGAAATTAACAGTTCTTTGTGATTTTTCCACGAAATTCTGAATTTTCAATGACGAAATTCCTCGGAATTTCAGTGGTAGTTAAATTCGATAAAAATTTCCAAAAAGTGTACCGGAAATTTCAGACAAAAATTTTCAACAGTGTACAAGACGGTGCATTTGTCAAGAAATATTTTGTGCCTAAATTATAAGATAGCTGTCATATTATTATTATTATATTTAGGAATCTATTTTTTGTTTGTAATTATTGAATAGCCGAAACGACAAACTACTATCCCTCGTTTCATATAAAACGAGCTTTTGCTAAGAGCAAAATACGTACTGGAGCATCGAATAACGAAGAAGTAGTGATAGAAACTACATTTCTTGTTTACACGGAGAATAAATTTTTTTTGAAAAGACTAAATCTATTTTTGCAATAACAATTTTCAATCTCGGCGCACGCTTCGCATGTTTGGCACAAAAGATCCTTTTTTGATAATTTAAAAAAAAACGATTTTTTGGCACAAGTAAGACTTGTTTGAGAACTCTGCCGTTTTTCCTTCAGTGTGGAGGGTAAATCGCTTGGGATACGAATTCCGCATAATGATTGAGACACTGTGAAAATTTGGTGAAGTGTACATCATTTGAACATGAACGCTTGACGATAAAATTCAAATTTCTTGGCTTAAGAAATCGTTTTTTTCGTGTCAGAGGATGAGAAAATGACTCAAAATACTAAAAGCCACGATTTCGTGAATCGTAGGTCAGCGACTTCTATATTGAACGAATACAGAATTTATATAGGGGAAAGCCGTCAAAAGTTTCTAAACTATAACCGTCATTTGCTCTCAATCACAATCAGTTGCAAGGAAAACAATCATTCCTTTTCTTCTTTCAAACTTTCCTTGCATTTTCAGGAATATCGTCTCATTTCGATAAAGAATATTTTTTCTTTATTCAGTATCATGTACTTCATTAGCCCGAAGAGCACCGCTTTCTTGTCTGAAACCTACCATGAACTGGTCCAATATGTATGCCATATTCTTCAAGACATTTATTGGTGATATCACGTTGATTTTTCTTTCAGTGTACATCGTATTATTCCCTAGGTGTATTTATTAAATTATTGAAATCAATTTTTATCTTTATTTCGGCAATGCTTACAGTAAAATTTATCCATATAATTATTAAATACTTGAAACTTGAAATAATAAAGTTATAAGCTTCCAATAATAGACAAAATCATATAATCCATTTCCTTTCCTAAATTATTATAAAATTAATTGTATGATCAGCGAAAATTATTACCTAAACCGATATTACGAATTGAGACACAGTATATGAGAATGATGTAAAATATTGGATGAGAATGAAAATTGAACTAATTATCTCTATAAATGCAAGACTCCTCTTTCTCATCAGTGTCCTAGACTTGTATCCCCTCTCCTCACACTTTAATTTGGCAGTGGGAGAAAGGATTCATTACAACATATTTAAAATTTTCCCATTTTTTTTTATTTTTATAGCATCGCAGTCTCGATACCATACTAAAACGTACGCAAATGGCTCGCTACTGAGGATCGATCCAGTCAGACCTCAAAGGGATCAAACAATATGGGAATGTGTTGCTGAGAATGGAGTTGGGGATGCTGTTACCGCTGTGGCTCAACTTACTGTCCACGAACGTAAGTAATGCATGAATAACATAATGTGGCAAGAGAATCTAAAAATACCGATGAATGTTGAATACCGAAAGATTCACTTTATTCAAAGAATCTGTAATTCAATCATCACGTACAGCCATTTCAATTGTCTTCATTCGAGAAAGCGAAAAACTCCAGCGAAAATGGGAATCCGTGTCAGTGACGAATGGGCGATCCATAACCTCTGGCCAGAAACATCACAATCTCACCAGAAAGTTCACTGGAGCACTCTCCCGAACATCTCCCTCAGACACTTAATTTTTTCTCGACTCCAGCACGGATCATGTCATGCATAATTAATTGTCCACTGTCGGTTTCTTTTTGCTTCATCGTCGGATTCCAAGTTAATTCCCCCAAAAGTTTAACCTCCGCGATATTCCACAATTTACTTTTTTTTCAACTCCCCACTCTTACTCTTTATCCTGGCTGCACCCTGTCTCATCTTCTTACTCCCTAACACTTCTTCCCACACTGTCTTTCTTATACCTTGCCCATTTTTACGGTAGAACGAACAGCTTAATGGCGCCGAGTCTGGTGGCCAAACGGAAGGCAGCTTAATGGGAAAGAAGTACTGCATTCCGAGAAGCTCCCCCAAAGCTCTCTCCCACCGACGAGATCGCGTGAAATTTTGCGGAGCAGCTTAATTGGTTTCTCTTACTTTTAATTTAATTTAAGATGAGCGGAATGAGGGATCAAGATGGTGGAAGCTCAGATGCGAAACTACGAGTAAGCCACGGAAAGCCTGTAAAGTACACTTTTATATAGATAACTTTGTGCTGATTCAGCTGTATAACCCGACAAGCCTAATAATTCAACGAATCGTACCTGCAACTGGATTGAAAAGATATATTGGATCTCCATTTGTCCTGTTCCCCTAATGATAATCATACTGTTAGAGAAAAATGAAATGTCATGGACAGTTGACTACTAATTTTCAGGACAGTGACACTAAATCAGTAGAGAAGCGGTAAACCGGGTCAAGTAGATTTTGACTTTCGCCAGTTTTTGATGTATATCTCGGAATCTAAGAGAGATACCAACATTTTTCTCAAGACCTACAAAAAAAGATCATGGCAAAAAATTTTCTAAAATCTTTTTTAGATTCTGAGATATTCGTCAAAAACTGGCCAATACTCAAAATCGATTTAACCCGGTTTACTGCTTCGCTACTGAAATGCGATGTAGGGGAAAAAAATCATGAAATTTCAGGTTTTACTAAAAATTCTGTAAAATTCTGTAAAAACCGATTTCTTATGGCAAGAAATTCACACTTTATCATGAAATGTTCATGTTCAAGTCCTGACACATTATTCGCAATTCGTATGCCGAGAAATTTCTCGGGATATTTGGTTGAAGAAATTAGTTTTGTGATATTATGACGATATTTTTCTCAGTGTAGCTTCAATAGGTACAAAATCAATGCCATTCCAATATTACACAAGCAGTATTATAGCAAATAAAATTGTTGCAATCAATAATTCACGTCTGACCACAGGCAGACTCCCATCACTCGGCTATTACGGGTGACAAAGGGGGTGGGATGGGAGAAAATAGAGTATTCGAGTGGCTAGACATTAAAATCACATTCGCCCAACAAGATTAATCGATAGAGGACATTTATAACGCTGTTAAACGAGAATAGAGGTTAACGTATTATGTGACTGGCGGATCTATTGCGTCTACCGTCGTAATTGATAATAGACGACTGTGATGGTGCTTTATTCCTCGACCCACTCTGAATGTTTCACCCAATTAGTGATTTTGTTCAAACTATGGGGATGGCAATGCTGAGGAAACATTAGTTTAGCTACTGTCAAGTCTATGAACGGTGCAATGTACACTGTTGAAAATTTTCGTCCAAATTTTCCGCGCCAAATCCTGGAAATTTTTATCGCGTTTAAGGGGAGACTACAATGAGTTTTAAAAGTCGCGGGCTATTGGAGTGAGATTTCTCATGCATTGAAGATCGATTATATATGTCTAAAAACCAATAATTAGTGCATAAAAATTAATTCTTTATTGTTCGTTATTACAGAGGTTTTTTTCAAATTTTTTGAAAAATTATGTACAATAACAATTACAAATTAGTTTGTTGGAATTCGACTTCTACATCGCTAAATTTGTTTTGTTTAATATAAAAATTTGCGCTATTCATGTAAAATAGGCAGAAAAATTATCCTTAAAATATTTTAAAAATATATTCTCAATTCTTTTAGAAACATTTATTCAAAAAAGTAATTCGTAATTGTTATTGTACACATTTCTTCAAAAAATTTCTAGCTCAAAAATTGGAGGCCCTGGACTATTTTTAACATTTTAACCGTCTGCGGAGCAAACAATAAACAATTCATTTTTTTGCACTAATTATTCGTTTTTAGACATATATAATCCATCTTTAATGTATGAGAAATCTCATTTCAATAGCCCGTGACTTTTAAAATCATAGTAGTGTCCCGTTGATTACAACTGAAATTTCAGAAAATCTTGTCATTGAAAAATCAAATATTCCATTGATTTTCTGTTCGAATGATCTGAAAATCAATAAAATACTTGATTTTTCAATTCAATTATTTTGTGAAAATTTATAAAAATTAGGAAAATTCAGGAAAAAATTCAAAATTCAATCAAGTTGTCGAAATTTCCATCTCACTCTCACTGAAAACTCATGAATTTCCTTAAATGCTACCAAAAACTTGAAATTTCACAACCATTTTCCCCCTAAATCCGATTCGATGTCACTCATGAGAATTACCATCATATTTTTCATGACATTTCAAAAAAAATTTAACAGTGTATTCCCGCTAGGTATGCGAAAAATGGAAATAAACGACAACAATGCCAAGACGGGGGAAATAAAACTTTGAATACACACGTGAAATGTCATTTCCGCACTCAGTGAAACTTTAAGCGCTACATTTTTATCTTTATAGCATCACAGTAGATACCTTCCACAACATATATTTCATGCAATATGTGTGATTACGGGGTTTTCTCAGATGGTAACACGCTTTTGAGTGAGTGAGCAAAAAGCGGTGCAAAGAATTGTTCTCCGACTATTACGGAAAACCACTGAAAGTATGTTCCACGAAATAGCACTGTGCGTGCTCATACTGACGTGACGGTAAAAATCTGAAAACCATTACAGTGGAGTAAGATTTGAAACGTCGGACATTGGAGCAGATGGAGGGAGGACAAGAAAAATCCCCAGAGTGGTGAAAAAAGAAGAATTTTAGAAATATTCTCACGATCCAGTTATTCGTGATATCGTTTCACACTCGTTATCGTGACAACTTTATTGTCAACCATTTCACTTAACTTTTAAAACTTGTGGATTTGGTACAGTAAGAAAGTGAAATTGCTCCAAAACTACCTGGAGAATAGTTTCGTTTATAACGAGATTATCTGTTGATTTATGATCTTGAAAGTGTATACTTGGATTTTTCCACAGCTCGGAAAATTTGCTGAGAGTGGGACTGGAATTATTCGAAATGCTATTCTTCACGTATTTCAGACAGATTTTACTCCAGTTCGCGCAATTGAGAGTGCTTTTATGATATTGATTTCCCACCACGGAGCTTATTTCAGATTTACTATAGCCGAAACGAGTTTTACTACAGTTTGAAAGGTTCGGTTAAGTGTAATTTCAAGAATAAATTTACGTTTAGCAAAATGTATCAAGGATTGTGAAATATCTTCGGAAACTAATTAACCCTTCAAGTACGGCGTCCATGGCACATATGGACCCAAGAGCTTATGCTATCAACCCTTTCCGTGGTTAGTAAAAATTAATTATCTTTAGTACTATTGTAGATATGGCAATTCTAAAACTTTTCCCATGAAATGGATAAAATTATCAACACACTGCGACTCGATTTAGTTTTTTTTAGCTATTTTTAATATTTTTCTTCAACACATAAACATTGCGGAACTGAATTCGATGTCAGATGCATATTTAAATCTCTCGTTTATCGAGATAATTTTTATTTAAAATTCTGAGATTTTTACCGAACATACTCCATACATTCCTGTGTCGAATGGCGCAAACGAAATTTCGATTCAATGAATTACTCATTTGTTATTAACAAATTTCTTCGTGTCTTAAAAATTCCTGAAAAATCTATGTAAAGGAATATTGTAATAGAACAACTTTTTGAAAGCTTAAGATTGTCATTAAATTTTTGTTCATAGACTGAGAGAATGTTTGATTTATTTCAGACAATGTTCGTTAACTATTAACGAATAGTAGAGGTGAATATAACGAAATAAACATTCTTTAAGGTTACCCACGTACTTTGGCTATTTATTCTGCAGTGAAATGCTGTTCTACTTTTGCAGTCGTCAGTAACATCAGAGCTTTTATTTGAGTCCCATTTGCCCCCAAGTTTCCGGACATTTTGCAACGATTTTATTATTTAAACTTTGCAGATTTCAATTTGAATCTCGATATTCATCTGTTCGAAAGCAGTTTAAAAATTTGAAAAAGATTAGGAAGTTTATGCATTTTCTATACATAATTTATAAACAATCAATTTTCCGCAATAAAAATCATTTGTTCCGAATCTTAACAAATTTATTCACGTTCAGAATTTTACCAGAAATCAATTTCATGCCTAACAAAGAAGGTTTCTGAAAGTTTAAACAATTTCAATTATTTATTTATACACAACGAATTTTTTAAAAAGGGATAATTCTGTGCAAAATGTAATTTTAATGACGCCGAATATTCATGTTTTTTTTTCAAATTTTTGTCAACGCAATTTACGTGACAAATTTGCTGATCGAAAATGGTTGAATCTATAGTGTGGTCTGTACCAAACTGTAAAAGATACTTGGATATCCTCAATAGTTAACGAACGGTCCATTTGAAAGGTGAACGTCGAGTCAAATAAGGCTGCTCAAATCTGCATTTGTGAACTATTAACGAATGAACATTTGGTGAGAACGAATAGACCCTAACCCTCCAACCAAATCCAATCGTCAAT